TATAGCGCTTTTCTGGAGACTCAAAACGCTTCCACATTCACACACTGGTGTGAGGCAAACCACAGTTGTAGCCACAGCTGCCCTGGGCTGCCATATCGCGCCATCAGCCCTTCAGGCCAACACCAGTAGGCGGTAGGGTGAAGTGTCTTGCTCAAGGACACAACGACCAGGACAGACAGAGCTGGGGTTCGAACCGGCGACCTTACACGATACATAAGGATAAGGTTACAAGATGAGCTTCCCAACCCCCTGAACCACGGTCGCCCTAACCCTAGTCCTGTGTCTTTTTATAAGACTGATCACCTCTTAGACCCCTGACAGCCAAGAAAAGAAAACAAGCAACAATATTTTTAATAGAATAGAGTTAAGGGTAATGACTAAGACCTCACAGGGTTAATTCTACTTCAAAATATGGGCTTTTTTAATTTCAAATGTGGATTGAAATTCAGTATAGCTTTTAAAAGGACACTGAAAGTCCGTATTGGCAAATGCCTGGCAGTGACAAATCAGGGCACTTGCACTGGATGAGGTAAATGTTTAGGTTCTCAGTTTGCACAGCCAGTAACAACACCGGCTTTGTCCCGTGAAACACAGACAGATTCCTGAAGAAGCTCATTGATATTCTCATTGTCTCCTGGAAGAGCTGCTAGAAGTCGCTGCAAGTTGCTGGAAGTCACCTCTATAAAAAAGAAAATACTATTTGGCCTTGAAAGACATTATTAAATACTTTTATGTTGCTTTTAGATTTGATTCAGTTCCCAGCTCTCCAGCTAAATATAATTAACTATCAATCCCTCAGGTAGCAAAAGATAAATGTTTAAGACACTGGTGGAGAATGATATTGGATTGGAATATATTCCATGCGGTGTGTACGTGCTAGAACTGATGAGTCGTTAAGGCCGAAGCATTCTATGAATTTATCCCAGTGCAATGGGATTCATGAATATTTCCAACATGACACAGTGTTGCAGCTTGAAGCCCTCTGAGTGCAATCAGTCTGATGAGATTCCTTCAGGAACAACAACACAGAGCGTACAAACTACAACTAAAGCAAACAGAATGAGCACACAGTTGGGGCACGCGCACTCAACTCTGAATTATTAAGTCAACATCCTCCTCGTGGCGTCTCACTGAAAAAGAAAACGGGTTCGTAATGAGGAGGTGTAATAATGTCGTCTGGAGCACGTGTGGGCACAACAATTGTGTAATTTACTTGCATGGTCAATCAGCATGGGTGCGTTTGTTTGTGTGCTACTTGTAGAGACTTGCCTGTAAATAATTAGATCTCCTCGTTAAAAACATAATAATAACTCCACTACATTAATGTGGCTGCACACATAATACACAGTTCTAAGTTTTGGACTTAAACATCACAATGTGAAATGAAGGTAGTGGGAAAATAATCAGCACCCACAGGTGTTGTCACTTCCTGCTGATAAGGCCTCTGCTCAGGATGAGATTAAGTGAAGCATCTGAATTACATGAAGGAATTACATGAAGCATTAAATGTTTTATATAAATAATGCTGCAGGGACCGTGTGCCTGTGTGTGGGTTTTTGTGTGTTTTAACAAGTGTCAGAAATTCCAACTTGTGATTCTGACTCTGGTTTTTGCCTGACAGAGTGGTTTAAAACAGGATGCAAACGCAGCACGCGTATGGTTAATATCTACTTTCCCCAGATTAAAAGAGCAGTGAGCCAGATACAGTGCGTGCATGCCCACAAAACCTGGTCATGGAGTAGAGATTAAGTGATGCACAACAACAAAAAGGAGTGCCCTACAGAAACATAACTGTATAAAAATATAAGTGGATTGTTTCATCAATCTCAAATAAGTAGTTTTTTGTAAACTTCCCCATTCTGGTCACTTTTGGCAAAAACCTTTAACATCAGCTATCCCATCTCTACATCAGCTTCCTGTTTTTTTCAGTGCCACTGTCTCCAAACCATACATCATAGCAGGTCTCACTACCAATTCGGAAACCTTACACACTGTTTGTTGCTTTGGATGGTTGCCCTCAACTATTTAAACTCATCCACCTTTATTACCTCTACTCCTTGCATCTTCAGCTTGCCATCAGCCTCATTCTCATTAACACACATGTATTCTGTCTTGCTTCAACTGACTTCTACTCCTCTTTTCTCCCATATACCCTTCTACCTGTTTTCTACTTCCACTACAGATCACAGTGTTGTCTGCAACCATCACTGGGACTCCTGCCTAACCTCATTGCTAAAAAATCTTAACCGTAATAGCTCCAATGAAAAAAAAGCAGAAATGTCAGTGAAATATCTCTGTAAAATAACCCCTAAATGATGTTCATTTTTCAAGGCAATTGCTATGTTATGCATTGTTATCAGCTTGATAATGGCTGTATATTATCCTTGCTTGACTTTAAAAAAATTGTAAGTGATCTAACAGCTATAACAGTGTAGGTAAAAGTCCTATAAAAGGCAATCCTTCCAGTGGAAGTAATCATGACCTTCTCTCTCTAGGTCCCAGATAGCCAATCAGCAGGATGAGGGACTTTTAAGCAGCCTCCCTATCACCATGGTGATGCTTGCTACATGGTGATGCTACAAGCTGGCATGCTATGGATGCAGGTCAGATCGCCTTATTAGCTGTATGAAGGTCACCAGTGGAGACAACACTTGTGATATTTGTTGACATTTTGCAATTGGACAGCAGCCCCTCCTCCACCCCCCCATGACCACAGAAACTGTCAACAAAAAGATGATTTTGTGTTACGTCCCCCCCCCCGTCCCGTTTGGTTCTTTTGCCATCAGAATTATTGTCTATATTTTATTTTATTTTCACTTGCTACACACGGGACAGACATGACTGGGGGAAAGAAAAGGGAGAAAGAAAGAGAGGTAGGGAAAGAAAAACAGCGGGGAAGAGGAACGGTGATAAAGGGTAAAAAACAAAAGCAAACGAAACAAACAGACAGAAAATACATATATCAATCACCTGGATCACCTGTTGAGAAAGAAAAAAGAGAAAACAAGCAAAAAAAAAAGAGCAATATAATAAACAACATCATCGTGACGACCTATGTGAACGTAACAGTAAATACTAAATATTGAATATTATTGTGCAGCACGTAAGATCGACAGCGCACAGTGTGCTTTGAGGTAGCAGCCAAAAAGGGTGTCATTTGTGTCTGTGAGCACCCGTGTGTACACCTGTGAGCGTGAGCACGCTTGTATTCAAAAGGTTCCTTCGTGTAATGATCTGCTAGAGGGTGTGGGGAGCCATAGCCCCGTCCTCCAGGGCATGAAGCAGCAAATGGAGGAGATCCAGGCTCCAGACATCCAGAGACACTCAGAGCACAAGAGACCAACAGAGGGGCAACCGTGCCACTCTCCCGGAAAGAGCTGAGGAGAGCCCCAGATGAGGGGTCACTCAGCAGCCGCGGAGCAGAAGCCAGAGGGGGTTGCAGTGACGCGCCCGTGAGCTCTGCCGGCAGCCAGCTGCGCCAGAGTGACCGAGCCCCGGGGCCGAGGGCACCCCACTCAAAAGAGATGATTTTGTCTTACGTTCTCACTGTAACTAACCCTAATAACTTTATGAATGTATCTCGCTGTACGCAGGCAAGCAGTTTGAGTCAAACCGTACATCTGTTTTCTTTGGCAACAGTTAATGAAAGAGCAAACCGAGATCATCTGAGTGTGATACGGATGAAATAATTGCCAGTGTCACCACATTATCGAATACTCTCCGCCACAACCGTATTAAATTGTCCCTTTCTGTTGAAACCCGGCGATTATCTTTGACAGTGTAATCTTACCAACACACTGTACTCAATAATCCATCATCTGTGTTTGAACACTGCTTCATTAGACCGGTAGGCACACAGAATATTCCTCCAATAGTGTGAGAGTTTGTGTACTGTTCTGCAGATGTGTGGAGTGTGTGTGTGTGTGTGTGTGGAGAAAGGGTGGAAGTGAAAGAGCCGGAGAGTTATCTGAAGGTTGTGAGTGTGACACTTCCAAGCGTGCTGTCTCTGATCAGAACACCGCTGCATATGAATGACCCCCCCACACACACACACACACACACACACACACCCACTTACTCACCATGAATGTACAATGCACTGGAGGTCTCTCTCTTTATCCTCCTTCTCTGTGTCTCATTCACTGTGCACTGATAGACAGGATGCAAATGCATTGACTGAAAATATGATTCATTACGGCTGTCACTGCTGTCGTGTCAAGCTACACACTGAAAAGCCGAGGATATCTTGCAAGACAGTATACTGTGTGACACAAATTAGACTTGGCAATGATGTAATGATGCTGCTAATTTAACATGACAGCATCAAATACTTGTTTCAGTTCTTATCCCCCTCACCTGATATCCACTGTTTAGCCAAGACAGGCAGCCCATGCATGGACCACAGGGACCCACGTGAATAGATACGAACACACACTCGCAACATATTATTATGTGGTATACAACTTTATCCAGTATTAATGAATTCCATGTATTATAAATGGGTTGTGTGGTACTTGTCACTCAATGCTGTGCTAGCAAACATTGTCTGGCCACTATCATCCAGTACAACAAATTAGCTTTTACACTGAGTTTTTTTTTTCTTTTTTTATTGTGGCATCTAAACTGGTCTCTCTCAGTTTAAAGCTCCTCCTTTCACAATCTCTGTAAATTAAAAGAGAAAAGAAAAAAACGGACTGTGTTGAAATGATGTGTTCTAGTGAATAAATGTCTTTGCATTCTGCTGCCTGGGATTCGTCTAAATCGCATGCTGCCCTGGGTCCCATTCTGTCTCTGCTCATCGTCATCACAATCTGGAGACATGAAGCAGCACATCAGGAGCAGGTACAGTATGAATTCAAACACCAACTGGTCCTCAACCACCAACATTATAACACTGAATTGGTTGCTGATTACAGCCTAACTAGTAGCAGCACACACACCTGAACTGCTATAAACAACCCCTATATTGCTTCGCGGCAGGCAAGTTCCTGTGTTCTTACCTTCTCCCTCCAGCTTGATATCCAGGCCCTCTAGGGAGTTGGCTGAGTCCCCCTCCTCCAGGGAGAGCCTTCCAAACAGGCTGCCAGCCATAGTGAACAACACCTCACTACAGGACACACACACTCTCTCAGTAACACACCCAATACTGTATCAGAGGCAGTCTGAGAGATCTTCCTCTCCCTCTCTCTCCTTATCGCTCCCTGATTCCCTCCTCTTTCCGCCAAAATGACTCCTCGCTAACGGCACCTCGCCGCTCTTCCCCTCCCTCCCTCTCCACCTGCTCTTGACGTGAATGTGTATAAGCTATGCCTGGCCGAGCGTCTTGTCCTCAGCATGAATGAACGGAGACGAGGGAGGGCTGGGTGCATGTGGAAAGAAAGAAGGTGGGGAGAGGAGAAAGAGAGGAGGGAAGTGTGATGCTTTCCTTAAGAGGAGGGTAAAGAGGAGCCAGGAAAATTGCTTGTCTAGGTTTCCCCATGGGGGTCAAGTGGGGGGAGAGAGTAGCAGAGGGTTGGCTTGTAAGAAGGAGGTGTGGTCAAAGAGGTGGCGCTTAGGGAGCGCACTTGTGTATTTTGTTACTGCTTGCCATTACTATTATCAGAGGAACAATCACAGACTTGACTTTTTTAAATATAATACAAGTGAAATTATCTAATTGGGAAATTTATATCTGAGCTACTTCGCTGACATAAATTTAAAAAAAAAAAAAAAGTTTCAAATAAAACCTGACCCTTCTCTCACCCTTCTCCACGTCTGAACAAAATATATCCCTGCTGGAAATGTTGCTTTTTAAATGTAAAAAAAGACATAAATTGGTTTAGAGAAACAATCGACTGCGTGTTACTAAAAATGCCACTCATCCCAGTCTCAGCCCTCGGCTAGTGCACAAATCAAGACTGACTGACAGCCTATTACACAAAAGACTCAACACACATTCTTGGTATAAATGCTTCTCTTTCTTTCTCTCTTCCTCTCCTTTTCTGGCAGCTGACTGCTGGAATTTACTATCATATATAACAAATAACTTTGAGGCTGCGGATTTGAGATTTGGCCCCGTGTTAAAAAACACTGGAGTGACTTTCCCAGACATGTGGGGCTGGATGTAAAAATGATGTGTACGCACAAAAAAACACTTTTTCCCACACATATATCAGTATGTGCATGTGTGTGCATGTGTAAATGTGCAGGCATACCCACATTACTCCAAACAACACAACAACACAACAATTTTTTTAAATTTACAAATACAATTTACCCATTAAAAACCTCACCGCAACTAATTTTGAGTACTAACTTTATTCTTAACATTTTTTTAAATTATTGATCATTTCTCATGAGCGGTGGCTGTGTATAACAGTCTGCTTCCCTTGTGTGAACTTCTATACACTTTTTCCCTCCTTTTTGTAGCCCAGCTGTTTCTTTTTTTTTTTTTTTTAACTCTGTCACATTCTTTTTGTCTTTTTTCCTTCAGAAGTTTTTCTTCTATTTGTGATTCACATCACCAAATACACATTTTCTTTTACTCCACCACTCTGGTGAAGTGTCTTAAATACAGTTTTATTTACAAATATAAATATACCTTTTTTAGTTATATGCATGTATTTTTCTCCTTTTCACGAGTTTCTGTCTTCAGCGATGAGCGAAAAGGAAATACATGGAGACATGGCTATGTGCCAGTTTACTTTTTAATGCAAAAACATTTTCTCGTTTAAACAAGAAAACATACTTTGACTGATGTCAGAATATTACAGATTTACTTTCATATAAATGGAACAATTTTAAACACGTGATGCCAAATTTGCCTCGCAGTCCAGCACTTCTCTGTGGAAGCATTTGCACAGGATACAATGCCTACTTTTGTTATGTTAATCACAAACAGTCACAAATTACTATTCTGGATTCAGCTTGATAACTATAGACAGCTTCAGAGCTGGATAGAAAAGCAACAGTAACTCAAATAACCACTTGTTACAACCAAGGTACGCAGAAGAGCATCTCTGAACCTTAAAGCAGATGGGCTACAGAAGACCACTCCAGGTACTACTATTCTCAGATAAGACAAAAGAAAGCTACAATTCACAAGGGCAACATCTGGATGATAAGGTTCAAATTTGACGTAAACAACATAAAAGCATGAATCCATCCTGCTTTGTATCAGTGATTCTGCCTGGTCCAGCTGGTGTAATAGTGTGGAGGACATTTTGCAGCACATTCTGAGCCACTTAGTACCAGTTGAGCATTGGTTTTAGGCCACACCCCACCTGACTATTGTTGCTGACCATTTCCACTTCCAGTGGGATCATGCATTACTTTACTCTGCTCAAATCAAGCACTTTTGGGATGTGGTTTGATGGTAGGTGACAAATCTGCAGTGATGCTGTGTGATGCTATCATAACCCAAAGTCTCTGAGAAATGTGTTCAACACTGCGTTGACTCTATGCCATGAAGACTTAAGGCGGTTCTGGAGGCAAAAGGGGGTCTAACCCAGTAAAAGACAGGTGTATCTAATGGATGATGTCACCAAAATCAATAATTAGGGTAAAATTCAAATCTCAAAATTCTGAAAACGCCATGATATTTCCTTGTCCATGGTAGTGCAGCTGCGGTAGCTCTGCTCTGACAAGCCATGATGATTGCTGCGCAAAAGACAATACGCGAACCATTCTGTGGTCTTTTTCCTACCAAAGGAGGAAACACTCTCAATTCACCAAAGCAAAGATCCAGATCTGTTCAAAAAAACTCAAGCTCAGCAACTGTCCAGTAACAATAGCTAAAGTGTTATCCTTAAGTTCTACTGAAATATGCATTAACATTTCATTTCATGCAGCTGGCACTCGTATTGTAAATCAACTTTACTTCAGGCTAAAATGTTAGCAATGGCTAACATTGTATGCTAATAAAAACATAATATAATTGTAACATTAGTTGCTTAATCTGCAACCATCGTAAGATTTCATCAGTCAACCAAGTATAATGTTAACATTTTAAATAAATGATCTGCCACCCTGTCGCGTTTTAATACAACCTTTTAATAAAGGACTTTAAAATGGTCAACCCATGTACTTAAACATTATGTGTTATTAAATTGGATATTGAGAATCATGTGGTTATACAGGTATTGGTTTCTGATATCGTGACATTCCTAGTAACTAATAAAGTGTCCAATGAATGACTGTATTGTATTGTAGCAGCCACCGACTAACTACAGATCTACAGAGTTCAAAAAAGCTGACCAGAAAAAAAGCTAACTGCCAAAGTAAGTAAGACCCTTACACGACACTTGGAGGTTAATCTCTTCCACGTCCTGCTATTTCAGTGACAATCTTTAATAAAAAAGTCACTTTATGTGTCAAATGTGTGTTCATCTGAAAACTTGCACAGTTATGTATACACCAATGTATACTACTCAGCTCTCATGCATTTGGCAAATCCTTTAAAGCATGACTGATCTAGAACTGGCGTTTTACCGCTTGGTTAGCCAGCTCATTAAGTCACATTAGTACTCTGGAGATGAGATACAAGTACTGACTGAAAGAATAATCACTAACCAATCTCTTCCTCTCAATATCTCACTCACTCACACACGCACGCATGCGCAATCTTCACGGCGAGACCGAAACACTTACCCGAGTCAGAGCTGGATGTGGCCACGGGCATTTTAGAAACTGGTTCTTCTGAGTATCCTCCACAAGACTTGTTAGGTCAACTGCAATAAAAAAGAGAGTGCAAAACGAGAAGGTAGATGCATTAAAAAACGAAAACCTTTATCTATCCCACTGCTGGGTTAGAATTAGGAATGAAATAAGCGACGGAGGGTAAAGTTGTGTTGTTAGGTTGAAGCTCAACACTGAGTGATCAGGAGAAGACTTAGTGTACAAATCCCTTTCTGGCACAAGCGCAGTCAATGGACTAAACATTCACACTAACAAGCTCCCACACAGGGTAATTGGTATTTAACTTTATTAAGACCTAAAAACAGAACAGCTAGTTGCCCTGGTAACATCTAAACAATTTTAGCCATTGTATCTGTTGGGAATACCATTAGCAACAGTTGGAAAGACTTTGTAAGTGGGTTCAGCAAGGCCAGTTATCACTAGCTTAGTGAGGATCTCTGCTGACTCTAATTGATCCATTTATCGTCATGAAAACGTAACAAGCGTCGCAGGCAGAAGACTGCAGGATTAACGATCTATTGTTCTGGGATCTAAAATTGGCTCCTCAAGTCATGGAGAATTTGTGAAAATACAAACAGTGAAAAGTAAATAAATGACATGGCGAATGAGGGGGAACATAAACTCAGCAGAACAATAAATGGGAATCGTGTCTATAGAGAAACTGAAAATGTAAGAGGAGGAGAAAAGGCAGGAGGAAACTAAAACGTATGCAATGCAAGGGAGTTAAAGAGAGAGGGAACAATGGTGAGGAAGAAGAGAGCGTTGCTGATAGGAGACAGGCAGCACTATCCAAGGATGCTAATTCCTGGTTGTCATGACAATAGCTATCCTTAGTGGAATAAATGCTGTAGTGGTCAAAAGAGAGCAATGTCACCGCAGGGTAAATGTCTGTGTCTGGCAACATAAAAATCCCATATTAGCCTTATTGTCACGTAGATGAGATGATGCTTCTTTTCAAAAAAATGCTACATTATGAATGTTTTCTGTCAGGGTTACAAAAAAATAAAAATAAATTCAAGCAGCAGCTTCCAGGAAGTTTTCAGCTCTCTGATAGGCTTCACCCAAACTAACTCAAATGACCAAACTGGACCTCTGAACTGGGTTTGGGGTTTGGTGCCTTTTGGATCTGTGTACATCACTGACTGCACTAACAGTCAGTCTGAGAATTCTGCAGTGTCTATTTTATTTGTAATCAGTATCTGAATCTGTGAGACGCATCCATAAGGTCCTTGGAGCACTCCAATATGCCATCTAAATCTAATCAGTTCTGGTACCAAAGACCCAAGACAGTGTGGTCATAATGCTGATGCTGAGGTAGTAATGTCACAGTGGCTACGTCTACCTTTTTGTGTGTGTGCATAAATAAATACCAGAATAATACCAGATCAGTCTACTAAAATCAGACCCATACTCAAAGAGGAGTTGCGATTCCTGTCAACTATGGATGGACGAACAGACGGATGTTGGATGCCTCGCTCATTTGTCCTTCAGCTGGATGAGCTAAAAACTTTTATCTTTTACCACTACTGAGCAAATGATATTTTTTAACTTCCCCTTAGGTTGAAATTTCCAATAACAAAGATACTCAGAGCAGTTTCTTGTAGCCCATCAGTTGTCAGTGAGCACAAACATAAAGATGTCTTTAAGCCCAGCGGTATCTAATCTTACTCATTTCATTCTCTGCACTGAGATCAAAATATTCCCAAATCATATTTGCTCAGATATCGTCTGCAGTTTTGTGCCTCAGCATTTTATCAACATATCCCAGGGCACAGATTGAAAATTCAGCTTATTAACTATTAATGTGACCCCACTGTGCTTTTTGGCCTACTTCGAAGGCATACGCTGCAATAAAAACTATGATCTACCAAAATATAGGGAGCTTGGGATTACTGTGTTACCACCACACCTACCTCTTCCATCTGAATAAGTGTCAGAGTGATTTGTTTGGATATACTAATGATACCAAACTGCTGAATATCATTATGCTTTTATTAGTTTGACTG